TTCAACAAAAAAATAATTATAAGACACAAAAAGAAATAGGAAAGTATGGCCCACACACACAGGAGCAGTATAAACTGTCCCTGAGGAAGCCCAGATTTTGGACTTACTAGACAAAGTTTTTAAGTCAGCTATTATAAATATGTTCAAAGAATTAAAGGAAATCATATGTGAAGAGTTAAAAGAAAGAATGAGAATGATGTATCACAAAATAGAGAATATCGATAAGAGACAGAAATTACAAAAAAGAACCAAGTTGAAATTCTGGAGTTGAAAATTACAATAACTGAAATGACAAATCCAGTAGAAGGCTGAACATCAAATTTAACAGGCAGAAGAAAGAACCAGCACACTTGAAGATAGGTCAAATGAGATAATCCAGTCTGGAGAACAGAAAGAAGAAAAATGAATAAAGCCTCAAAGACTTGTGTGACACCATCAAGTGTGCCAACGTAAGTATAATGGGAGTCCCAGAAGAGGAGGAAATAGAGAGACAAGGGCAAAAACAATATTTGAAGAAATAATGGCTTAAAAGTTCCCAAATTTGGTGAAAAGTATTATTCTACACATCCAAGAAGCTCAACACACTTCAAGTACAATAAACACAAACAAATCCATAGCTGGACACATCATACTCAAACTGTAGAAAACCAAAGATGGAACCTTTAAAGCAGGAAGAGAAAAATGGCTATTCACGTACAAAGGAGCCTCAATAAGATTATCATCTGACTTTTCATCAGAAACCATGGAGCCCAGAAGGCAATGGGATGACATATTCAAAGTGCTGAAAGGAAAAAACCATCAACCAAGAACTCTACATCCAGCAAAACTGTGCTTCAAGAATGAAGGAGAAATTCAGTTTCTCCAAGAAAGCAAAAACTGAAAGTTTGTAGCTAGCAGATCTGCTCCACAACAAATACTAAAGGGAGCCTTTCAGGCTGAAATAAAAGGACACTAGACAGTAACTTGAACCTACATGAAGAAATAAAAAGCACTGGTAAACACATGACATAGGTAAATATAAAAGACTGTCATCAGTGCATTTTTTGTTTGTAACTCTTCTTCTCCTATCTGATTTAAAAGTCAATTGCATGAAAAAAGTAATTATAAAACTGTGTTGATTGGCATATAATGTATAAAATAATACCAATAATATTTGTGTGAAAATATTACCACAAAGGAGGGAGGAGGGAATGGAGTTATATTCGAGCAAATTCTTTGTTTGCTATTGAAATTAAGTTGGTATTATTCCAAATTAGGTTAAGTTCAGATGTTAATTACAATGCCCAGGGCAACCACTAAGAAAATAACCAAATATATGCAATTCAAAGAAACGGGGTAGATCTGAATGGCTGGATCTAGTGGCTGGGATTAAAGACAATCATTTTAAGACACTGTCAACCTAAAATTCAGGATTCAAATTCCTGGGGCAGAGGTTCTATTTGTTCTAGTGTGGGTCATGCCCACCACTGTGGTCAGAAGAGCAGGGTTCCAAGATTGGCAGACTTCTAGAATTGCATGAGAGGGACAATGGGAGACATTTTCCATAAGAAGTGGATTTGAGGCAGAAAAAAATAAATGATGACCACTAATTGTGTTAACACTTTGTTAACTAGAATTTTGATTAATCAACATGGTCTATTTAATGTGACTCTGCCAGACAATAAAATACAGAAAATTTGTCGTATGCTAAAAACATTGGTATATTTGTGAATGGGGCAATATGGATTACTAGTGACTAAATATGGGATTAGGGAGAAGGATAGTATGTCAAATTTTGAAATAAGTTGTGAAATACTGAAATAGAAGATTGGTTTCCCAAGGAAGTTTGAAACTGCAAAATCTATTTTAGTTTCCTAAAACCTGTATTTACTCTAGTATTAAGGCATGTGAAATTAACTTGATGTCAACCTGAATAAGTTGTAGTTGGTTTAAAATATTCCAGACAAAGTTAAAAGATAAATGAGAGATTGGGGAAAGTACTTGCAACACACAAACATATTAAAGAGTTACTATCAATATACAAGATCTTCTTACACTTTGAAATGATAAAGACCAGTAAGTCAAAAAGAAAAGTGAACTAAGTATATAAATAAACAATTTACAGAACAGAAAATCCAGAGGGGGAAAAAAGAGAAAACGTGAGCAGCTTCACTCGAAGTCAGTGAACCACAAATTAAAGGAACAACAAACTATTACTATTCACTTATCAGAAGGGCTAAAACTATGCAAAGCAAATTGATACAGCCTTTTAGAAGGCAATCTATTAACATTTTAAGTAGATCAATCCCTCAGAAATTAAAGTACCACAGCATTTGGATATACATGTAAGGATGTTTCTTGAAACATTGATGGCAGTGGCAATTTTTTAAAAAGAATTTGAAAGTCATGAATAGGGGAACTTTTGAATAAATTTTGGTACGTTCATACTGTGGAACATTATAGCCTCTAAAATAGAAGAAAAAATTAGAGCTATACCGTTGAACTGGAAGGATTTTTATGACTTATTGTTTAACAAGAAAAGCAAGCAGCAGATAAGTGTTTATACTATGATACTTTATTTTATAAAATAAAGAAGAACTGCGTGTGTGTATATATATATGTATGTATAAAGTTATATTAGCATGCTTAACTCTTTGAATAGTTGATAGTGGGGGAGAGTAGTGAAAGGGAGAGTCACGTAGGAAAAGGAAAGACTAGAAAAGAGAGTGTCCAAAAGAAAGCACAGCATACACCAAAAGGTTCCACATGTGCATTTATGGATGGGCATGTGTATAAAGATATGCATGAAAATATGATCATCAAAACATTAACAGTGGTTATTTCAGAGTGTAGGAGTTTATTTCCTTCCTTATACTTTCATGTATTTGAAGTTTTACAATAAGCACACAATTTATATACAACCAAAAATGGTTATTTATTTTAAAATGTGTGTGTGGCCAATTGCCGTGGGGAATGAAGATGAGTCAGAAACATAGCCTGCCTTGCAGGCCCTGACAGTTAGTGGGGAGACAGGAGGACACAGTCAGCTGCAACACACAGCACGAACTTAGTGAGTGCTGTGACGGAAGCACAGAGCGCTGGGAAAGAGGCATTAATCAATCTCACAGATCTGACTGGGAAGATCCGGAAGCACTTCATTAAAGGAGAAAGTATTTGAAGTGGATCTCGAAGTCTTGGGAGCAATTCAACAGGTACAGATGGGGATAAAGAGAAATGCAGGATGGGGGACAGAGTGAGCAAAACACAAAGGGCATTAAAAATCCAGGGTATATTAGAAGAATAGCAATTGACCCAGCTTGGTCTAACTGGAACCCAGGCAGTGGAGTGAACAGAAGGTTGGAAAGGTAAGCTGGTTTCCAACTGTGGAAGTAGTTTAGGCTGTATTCCAGTTGCAGAGGGGAGTGACTGCAGGTTTGTGTGTAGGGGGCTAGAAGGTTGGGGGGACATTTTGCTTGTTTTGTCAGGAGAGTAACATTCTCAGGTCCCTGTCGGGGGTGGGGAAAGACAGGAGGCAAGAAAACCAGTTAGGAAACTATTAAAATGATTCAAACCAAGGCAATCAAAATCTAACAAGAACAGCAATGTGGGAACACAAGGAAAGAGAAATTCCAGAAATATTTCTGTGGTAAACATGGCTGCCCAAAGCGGAAGATGGAAAACCTTCTGTGCCTGGAGACTAAGGGGTTGGGAATACTTCAGTCTGAGAAAGAGGACACTGGGATTGAAGATGGGAACCACGTTGGGAGACAGATTTCAACATCTTGCAGAGTATAGAGGGGATGGTGAGAAGAAGGAGCTAAGAGCATGGACAAATTCTGCAGTAGAATAAAATCCGAACAGAGGTCTGAAGGACAAACCCTCCATCTAGAACCGCAGAACTGAAGATCTGGTTCTGATCTTGGAAGTCAGCTGTTGTACGGAAAAGATGAACCCACAAGCCTCCTTAACCGGAGCAACCCTCACGGAGGAGGAGCGAATCGGTCCCCCTCAGTTTCTGCACGTTCCAAATGAAAGGGTCTGGCCGTACAGAATGAAAGAGCTGGAAACAGTCCTGGGTAAAATCTCAGACATAATTCTTGGTCTTTGGACATCCAGCTTTTTGCTCACTGCCCTGAGGAAACCCTTAGCTATCCTTCTTTCTTCCTCTTATTCCCCCCTCAGTAGAACCGTTTCTGTGAAAAGAAATCTTTGGGTAACATCCCGTGTTAAGACATCTATGACTGTCACCAACGTTCTGTGGGAGGGGGAGTGGCCCCACCTGGCTTTCCTCCTCACCCCCTCGCCAGACAAGGGTGTCCTCCAGGCAGTCGTGAAAACATGGGATTTCCCAACGAGCCTAATACGTCTGAGACCTTAAGATAAAATAAATGAAAATATGAAAAGTATAATTCGATTCCCAAGATCCTTTCCAGATGGCTCGCTCTCACTTCTTAAGGGTGTCTGACACAAAGGCTTCCCAAGTAACGTTCTCATCTTTCTGATTATAAAATAAGCACAAAGTCAACGCAAAGAATTTGGAAAACCCAGAGAGCATCAAATGAGAACACTCAGGGGTAACTCCACCGCTGCAATAAAAACGAAATAAATATAAAAAAACGAAATAAAAGCAATAAAAACATTTGCGCTCTGGGTCCCGGGCCCGCTCCCCAGGCAGCGCCCACGGGGAGGGTCTTGGAGCAGGGCGGCGCGGGCGGGGCCGCCCCGGGGCCGGCGGCGGAGCTAGGAGCGGGGCTAGGAGCGGGGCTGCGGGAGAGCGCGGCGCGCGGGGCCCGGGAGCCGCCCTGGCCGTGCCCGCGCGCCCCGGCCGGCCGAGCGCGGGGTCCCGGCGCGCCCGCGAGGCGGCGCCAGGGGAGGGGCCCGCCAGCCCAGCCGCAGCCGCAGCCGCAGCCGCCCCGCTGGGCCCCGCGCGGCCCGCCAGCCCGCCGAGCCCGGCGCCGCCGTCCCCCGCCTCCACGCCCGGCTCCCGGCGCGGCGCTGGGCGCGGCTCCCGGCCGGCCGGCCCCCGCCCCTCCCCGCCCCGGCCCTGGCAGCCCCGCGAACCCGCGAGAGCCCCGGGGACCGTGGGCGGCCCGCTGCCAGCCGCGGGCTCGGCGCTTCTCGACGGCCGGGGACCTGGTGAGGTGAGCGGCGCGCCCTTGAGGATCCCGAATTCGGGATTTTGCAGGACCTCCCTGTGGACACGATATGGCCACAAAACATCAAACAGTTCATTCCAAAGTGAAAAAGGGGAAGGGGGAAGGGCTTCCTCTCCACGCCAGAATCTGGGCAGTTTCTTTGCAAACGGTAAAGAAACTATCTTAAAGACGGCAGGTGAGCCGGGGGTCACTCATCAGGGCTGCCAGGGGGCAATTTCCTTAGAAGTCGGGGAGAGTCCCGGTATTTGGGGAGAAGTGGGCGCCTGGCTGTTTTGTTGAATGCGCGACAGACTGCTGAAATTGTGAGATCTCGGGACAGTCTTCCCGAGCGGGTGGACGCCCCAGAGCCTCCTCTCCGAACTTGTCTGTAGATCTTCCTTGCAGGGGCACGTTCACCCCAGGGTGCAGGGTGGCGGATAGGATGGGCTCCCTCCCGGGGACGGTGAAGTCCTGAATAGACAAAGTTTTATTGCGCGGCGGTCTGTGGAACTGCCTTGTTCTGGGCGGAGAGCGGCCCGGGAGCTGCAGCATCCTTGTACCCTGGCAAGCACCCGTTTCCACCTTAGCTGTGTCAGAAACTAGAGGCCACTTGTTAGAACTCCGTGTTTGAACGGTCTGTCTGGGTATACGTGCTCTACTGCAGAATCCGAACCTAGAGGTTTTTCTTTAAAATCGAGTTTTGTTGTTGACATTTCAGAATAGAAAACTGTGGGGAGAGAAGTCATGGCATGTTCTTATTCTTCCCTTTGTTGGTTTTCTGGGTACATGCATGCATGAATAATAGACAAATTATGTCCTAGCCTCTAATTAAATGTTTTTCCTGGTATAGTCCTTTAAACCAGGCTATGGAGGACAACGTTAAATTATTGCATCCCTACGTAAAAGTGAAAGACTTTCAGGCGGGGGTTAAAAGCTTGAAAAATTGTTGGTATAGCTGTATTAGGCAGCAAGGCCTGCAAAGGAAAACTAATTTTTCTCCACCAATGGTGAGATGCCGCATGGAGGGCCTCTGGGCAGGCTGGGTAGCAGCCAGGCCTGCAAAACAGTAGCTTCTTCCTTTGCTGCAGTTGGAGCAAATGGGTGTGGAGATAAATGGCTGAGGAAGTGATTGTATGTCATGTTTGAGTCTGCAGAATAAAATGTCTTGGCAGGCTTTGCTTGAGTTAGGGATCTCTTGGGAGGGGAGTGGTGGCTCTCTGGTCCCCATTTTGCCAGCCTGATTCCACTTCAGGGCCACCGCTGTCTCTGGAGTGCTCCCTGTGTTTCCCCTCTCTTCTACCTCCAGCTTTTAGCTTCTCCCTGTTCCTCAGTAAAGTCTAGAGTTGAGCCTGGTCAGAGCACAGTTATGGTAGCCTGGGGACAGAGAACTTCACGTCTAGTGGAAGCAGAATTGTGGCCCAGGGGAGACCCAGGGGCTGATTGGGATGAAACCACTGACTTGCGGGCTAGAAGGCTCTCCAAAGAGTGGAGAGAGATTCTGGGAGAGGACTGAGGTGTTTGACAGTTTGCTTCCTGCTGGGGGTTTAATGTTTCCTTTTTTATTTGACCGGAAGGGCATTTCCAGATGAGGCTAGGGGAGTGCGAGGACTTCTCTGAAAAGTTACCCCGATCCACCCCCCAAATTCGCATTTTATTCCACTCCCTTTTAGGTTTTCAGAGAGTAACTGAGGGCAGGGGGAGAGACGAAAGAACCCTGAGGTTCTGACGTGCCACAGAGGCAATGGAACATGCACCAACTTGGGCAGAGAAGTTGGATTTGAAAGTTGAAAGGAATGTCCTACATTTAGCTAAAAATCAGAACCTGTGTTTTGCAGAAAGGTATTGAAAACCACAGCATTCATATTTAGTTGCTGATGAATTTCACCTGATAAAGGATGCAAATCCCGACCTCTTTTTTTCCTCCATTTTATTTTGAAAAATTTCAGACATACAGAAAAGTTACCTACTTCTCTCTTTGTAAACTTATAACTGTCTGGGGACATGAACTTGTTAATAAAAATCAGAGTTTGGAATCCAGATATATGTGATCTGGCCCTGGACAGAGGTAGTTAAGAAATAGTAGTAAGAAATAGATGTGTGAAGGATATTAACATTTTGAGAAAAAAATATGAATCTTATTCTTCTGACTCCTCCCGAAGAACCTTAGGCAAGTTTCTTCATTGCTTCCTTTTCTCATTCTTCAAACGTGGGTTGGATTATATCGCTCTCCCGCTTTTCATCCTCCAATGGCTTCCCCTCACATTTGGAATAGAATCCATCTCTTTGCCGGGACTCATGGAGCCCCATGTGACCTGGCCTGTTTGACATCATCTTCTGTCACTCTCCACTCCCTCACTGTCCTCCTTGCTCCTCTCTGCCTGAACACTCTTCCCTCGGGTACTTGCACTGCTTCTTTCCTCACCTCCTTCAGGTCTCTGTTCAGGTGTGACCTCCTCAGTCAGGTCTTCCCTGACCGCCTGATCCAAACAGCCGTTTGTCACTCCCTGTCCTCTGACCCTGCTGTATTTCTTCGTTGCGCTTACCATTACTTGGCATTATACAGAGTATCTGTTTCTTTGTTAATTGTCCGTATATCCGCCCCCTGTTGAATGTTAACTCCCTAAGGACAAAAAATTTGTTGTTGTATTCATGGCTACGTTCCTGTTTGGCATGTCATAAGCCATTAATAAGTAATTATTGGATTAAGTAGATAATTAAATGCATTGACTCCCTTAAGGGTTGCAGAATCCTTGGTAAAATACTAGGAGTTCTTTTTGATAATTCAGTTAATCAATATTTTATAGGTAAATGATGATCCTAGAGATCAGGCAGCTTTTACCCTCACAGTGCTTCAAAGCTGAATCCTGTGCTAGAAGCTGGGCTAGTTTTGACAAACCCACATCCTAAACGAGATATAAAAGATTTCAATCCCAGAAGTTTCCTTTATGCCCCTTTCTAGTTACCCCCACCCTCCAGAAGCAGCCTTTGTTATGACTTCTATTATCATGGTTTCGTTTTGCTGGTTCCTGAGCATCATATAAATGCATTCGCACAGTAGGTACTTTGGTGTCTTGCTTATTTTTGTTCAACGTGATGTCTGTGAGATTCATCCATGTTGTTAAGTATATATTTCTTTTTATTCCAAAATAGTATTCCATCGTTTGAATATTTACCGTGTGTTTGTCCATTCTCTTATTGATGGCCACTTGGGTTGTTTCCAGTTTGGGGCTATTCTGAATAAAGCTGCCATGAACATTCTTCTAGGGTCTGCCTCTTTTTGAATCCTGTGTTCTTTGTTTGGAAATGTTTGTGCCACCAGTGCTGAGAGAAGCCTGGCAAGGTTATGGGGGCTGTGACTGATATGGCAGCCTGTCTGCAGCTCAGCGAGCGCCTTCCCTAGACAGCTCCACTGGGTACTGACCTACCTCCACTCCAGAGGGAGCACACTTGGAAAATGAGTGGCCATGCAAACTGGGGAGCCCTCAAGTGCACTTTAAGTGTTTTTAGATCCATAAAAGAGACTCTGTAGAATGTCTGCTGCCATGGCTGTTGTATTCCTCTCCTCCTGTCAGCCCCCCATCCCAGTACAAGTTGACTCTGATCACCCAGTGGGCGAGCATTATGCTATCGAGGAGTTTAAATATTTATTAGCAGGAGTCTTATTCAGAGCCTGATAAAATATTTATGTGTTTCCATGGGGCACTGGTTTCCATCTAGACTTCTCAAGGCGTTTTTCTGAGACACTTGTCATAATCATGAGTACTGAGACAGAGATAGATGACATGGCCCGAGAACACCCCGTGTTATTGAACCACACCTTGCAGAGCACCCCGCTTTCTAGGGATGGGAGAGAATGAGCATGCAGAAAAATGGGCGTTGATAGTGGCTGGGTCAGGAGAAAGACTGCATGTGCTGGTGAAACTGGCTTGATAGGTGTGAATCCAGAGGAAATTGTGGAAAAGAACTTGTTATATAGTGAGGAGGGATTAATTAAGACGGGATGTATTCATTCCAAATAGAAGAATGAAGGAACCAGCGTTGTAAAGACACGGTTCTTTTGACAGTGATATAGACGAGGCCTTTACAAGACAACTGGGCTGACTGCTGTAATTAAGTTATCACACTTGCTGTGAAAATATGTGGGTAGGAGTAGGGGCTAGCCAGGGCTTCCAAGTGGAGGGTAGAGAGCTAGCTATTTCAGGAAGAATCATTATTTTCCTTCAAGGAAGAAGCAGCTTTTGAGCGGAGTTCTGAAGGAGGTGTGGCTCTTTGACTGGCAGCTGTGGTGTGGAAGAGCAGTTCCAGAAAGACAGAGTAACTTGAGCAGATATTCGAGTCAGGGCTAGAGTACTGGCGTGGCTTGAGTAAGGTGAAGCGGTGGGGAGGGGAGGTTTGCAGTAAGAGAGAAAGCAGGAAAGCTAAAGGCCAGCTTGTCAAGGACACAAGAGTGTGTACTTGTTTGTTTTAGGGAACTATGAACTTTTGACCAGAGGTTGGGTCTGATTTTGAGCAATTTTGGGGAGGCGCATCCAGGTCAAGCAAGGCCTTGAGGTCTGTTTTCATGCAAGAATATTCTGCCATGTCCGATCCAGTCTAGAGACTTTGTGCAGTCTACTGTAAGGGAGGTAAAGAAGAGGAGGTCACATTCGTTCAGTGGACTCCTGGGTCTCACCAACCATCTTCTTGTCCCTCATCACACATAGACTCAGAATGCTCCAAGTCCAACTGAATTCATATGCTGTATGCTGCATTCTCTGATCTCCTTCCTGGCTGTTTGGCCTCAGTGTGGGGAGTTGAGAGGGTCTGAGTACCCTTTTATTACCTGAACCCAAATCTGGGTCAGTGTACTTCAGGTGTGGTAGGCAACAGAGGACTAAGTGGCGAGGCAGCAGACCGTTTCTGGAGAGCTCAGGCCTGCTGTGACTGGGCTCCTGGGCAGTGACTAGGGAGGCAACTGGCAGTAGAGGATTGAGGTCATGCAGATTGGTAAACTATAGAAAGGACTGCCTAGCCGCCTTCCATATGTGTTCTCCCTTCAGATTGCAGGTTCCTATTCAAAAGTGCTTCAGGATGTTTATTTTTTAATCCATAATGGAAATAGGGAGGTGGGGAGAGGTGTTAAATCTCCCCCTGGTCTCCACTTCATGATGTTTGTGATAAGGAAGAGATAACTGTGAAAGTGAGGGTTCTGGGAAG